CAATTTGATCAATTTTCTGGAACATTTACAGTCGTTCTATAATCGATGCAATGTGCAATAACAAATTCGAATTTAAAACAGTTCGATCATTTGGTTAAAAAATCTAAAATATTTTAATAATTAATAATGAATTAATTTGGTTTATTCTGCAGAAATAAATGCAAGCTCTCAAATACAACTCAGGCACGCAATGACTTGCGTAAGTATTTATTACGTAAACGTTCTAAAAGTACTGTACAGGTCTTATGCAATCAATACTTATATCTGTGAATAAGCAGAAACCTTTTATTCTAAAGCTGACATTTAGTTGGTTTCTACAGAAATATTGCAATTACTTTTAATTCCGTTACTAATTTTATTTTTGTCAAATAATAGCCTGCTCAAAAGTATGAGAAGAATCGTCTCGAGCGCTAGCGTTACAGATCTAAATTTTAAAAAGGAAATATGTCTACCGTGTTTTCTCTCTTCGTTTACTTCGATGTCTATGATCTACGGTTGGGAATTTTTTACGCCTTGCTCCTGTGTCTTAAACACTGATGTTTATTGGCGTAAAATTTCGAAGCTTTACGTCATATTTCTTGAATGTGTTTACTGGGTACATTCAATTGTCCTTCTCTGCATGATAATTCCTTACATATCAGATTTAATGCCTTGCTTTGCCTCGTACTCGATATACGAGTATGACATATTTATCAGAATAATAATTGCGACTATTTTCTTGGCCTTGGCAGTAATATTCAGCATTGTTAAGAAAGTCAAACTAAATTCGAAAATTCAATTGAAAGAGTCATATCGTTTTCCTAAAAATCAATTATGTGTTATTATCGATTATGTACGGCTTCTTGCAGTAATTGCGACTACTGTTTTTACGATATCCCTTCAATTCATAATAAATTTTCTATTTTATCCTGCTATAGAGAAAGCAAAGTCCTTTAAATATGAACCCCTTTTCTGCTGTATTGAAGTGGGAATCGCGGTTAATGTAATGATTGGTGGTTTTATATATCTGTATTTCTTTGTTGTTTTGCTTTTACTTACTTTAATGAATGCATTCGAAAATGTATCAGAAGATTTGTATTTACTGAATAAGGGAAATTTGAATTTGCATTCGGAATTGGAACGAATTATGGCACAACACGATGAACTTTGGCGCTTTATCGATCAGCTCAACGGACCATTCAATTACATATTAACAATTCTATACGGCATTTTATTATCAGAAACAAGTCTACTGTACTTTGCTCTCATCTTTTCGAAAATGAAATTTGCGTTGAAACTGTTTTATTCTTCAATGTGTCTTAGCTTCACTTTCCTTTGTATCGTAGCCGGATTTCTGTTTTCTGCTTTTACATCTACTGTAACGTATTTCTTTTGAAAATTCCACTATTTTCTATATTTACAGACCTCTAAATGTGTTGTTCCTTTTTTCAGATGCAAACGTCCTTTCAAGATATCAGAAGATTTGCTGGCTGCGATCTCAAATTGGAACAAAAGTTAAAGGTTTAACATTTAAAATCTATTGTTATTGAGAAAAACATTTATTATGTTTATACGTACTGTAAGTTATTTTAATGCTTTAATAAAAATAATTTTGTAGATTCTAAACTTTATGAAAAGATTCGGTAAAGATTGCCTGTGTTTGACATTTAGAAATTACTTTAAGGTTACAAAAAAGTTTCCAATAAAAGTGTTTTGAAATTTATTTTACTTGTGTTGTTTTTAAAATTAGAATTATAATAACTGAATTCATCCTTTAAATATTTCAGATGGGAAGTTCTTTACACACTATATTTTCTGGTCTTTTGAATATAAAGAAAGTTTCGTAGATAAAATTTAACAAACATGTTAAAAAGACCAAAGTGATGACAAGCTCATACAAAAAGACATGGAAAACGGGGTACCCCTTGAATTATGGTGAGACTAACCTGAGGACCCAGGATCCAAGAGTTATAACAGTATGTCGAATCTAGAAAATGTCCGCAATGCTTCTAAGTATATGAATCATAATCAAATTATGTGACTTTCCAATTTTGTATCTCTTTTATATCTCAGATACTGTTAATAAATTACTACACTGATTTCTAAATTGTCTACTTTTGTATTGTGAAGGTCTGAAATTCTTTTTCTGTCTTAAAACAGTATAAACCTCGGGGTTTTTTCTATAAAGGGAAAAAGGGGGACTTCTGCGATCAATGACCGAGACGCTCTTTTCGAATAAAAAAAAATGGGGGAATGTTAAAATATCAATGAAGGAAATCTCCTCCATTTGTTTAAAGGTAATTCTATAGACGTTAATATCAACAAGACGGGAATAAGAGATGGTTTCTTACACCCTCTTTGGTTGCAAGTGACACGTGTTTACAGCAATAGATCGCCTCGTTCGTAGTCAAACGCGACGTTTGATATAAACAATATGTAGATTGTTGACCAGTTTACAGAAATTATTGTCAGCTGAATGTTAATTTATGGATGAGAGCCGTCAAACCTATACAAATTTATATTATAAAATCATATCTTCTAGACACCAATATCAATAAATTAAACAAACTTCTCTGTGCCAGTGGTCCTTACTAGCTAGATCCAGACATCAACACACTAACAGGTGTGTGTATAAATCATTAATAATGTCATAGTTTTCATCCTTTCAAATTTGGTATAAAAAGGGCTCAGGGCCCGTTATCGGTGTGACCTTCGAGACATCGGAAAACGACGGACCAACTGTCGGAAATACGCGAGACACAACCCAGCTAACTACCTATTGGAGCTTCGGTTGAAATTGTTATTATTAATCTTATTATTTGTATCCTTTTTTGTATAGCGTTTACTAATTAAATTTATATCATATCTTAAACATGTGTGTTTACTCGTACTCGGCCAACACCTTATCGACTTATCCGCGACCTCCCACTCGATTTTCGCCCTCCTAAATTGCCATCCACTGACCCTGTGAGCGCGACTCACCTTCCCGTTGTCGGAAAATGGTTTAAGCTTTGATGCTTAAACCCCAATTCTCACAGTAAGTAACATTGCTCCATGTCCATTCCTTGCTTTTTTTTTATCAATGGAATATTTAAAGTGGCGTAAAATATCCTCTCTCTGAGGGTACTTTGCACCATTTTTTGGTCTATAAAAGAAAAAAGAAAGCTGAAATACAGAGATTTGGTTAATGTTTCGGTAGGATGGAGGGCGCTGGATCCTAAGAAGGATGTTATACATTTTTGGAAAGCATTTTTCTTACTGATCAAGAATATATCAAGTTTGTTAAGATTGGGTTATTTTTCACGATTTTACACGTTTTTGAAAATACCGTCTTTTCAGGCTCGATTATCCGGACCATCTTGACCGATCAACCGGAACGCTTTCCGGGTATTTGATCGCGCTAAAAACGTGAGTGCGTGTTTAAAATTTCGGAATTTTAGGCCCAGTAGTTAAGGAGTTATCCCTTACTTCCGGTTAAATTTCGGTGGGCTATAACTCGCTTCCGGCTCGTTATTTCTGGAAAATTTTTGGGCATCTCTTAGAAGATACCAAACGTGAATTTCTCCAAAAATTTCATGCTAATATCTCCAATAGTTTTTAAATTATCGCTGTTCTAGAAAATTTTGGAATTTCAACATTACCGTTCCATTGCCGGTAATGATAGCGATCGTCAATGACCTCTTCTACACGAAACTTTTATAACTTTTCCCGGAAGTTACATTTACTTCGTTACTATCAATATTTTACTAGTCACGTTATATATTTTTGGAATCGTCTGAATTAGACGAAGACATTGAACATACTTTTAAGTTAAAATTTTAGACGTAAAAATGTTTAAAACCTATTATTTTGATTGGTATGGAATGTGAGGTCAAAACATTTCACCGAACTGCCTATGGAATTATCGATGAGATTTAACAATATTCTAAACATAACCCGAATGCCAAATTAGGAGAAATTCCTGAATTCTTGAAGTATCTCCACAAATTAGACAGAATATGATAAAAGCAGGAAAAATCCATCTTCTTTGGACAACCTGTCCTATCTTTGACTTTCTCCCTATAACACAGCGCTATCGCTGTTTATCATTTGGACATTTTGCAAAAAATTGTTCTTTAAAAGAAAATGTGTAGCCATTGTAACGGAAATCATTTATATAAAGACTGTCAAAACAAACATGACTCACCGAACTGTGCTAACTGCTTGAGAAAACAGTGTACAGAATTGTCACAACACAATGGATAAAACTTGTCCAGTGTATATAAGAGAAAAAAACAATTCCAATAAAGAACTGACTACATAATACAGTGATCTGCGAGGCTACTTCACAAACTCAAGGATTAACGGGTATCTGCAGATTGTGATCTGACATTTGTATTTTAGAACTGTAAAATGAATATCGCCATATATTTATTTATTGTATTTTAATTAATGATCTTAGTTCTTTCTAATAATTGTTACCAAGGACCATACGTTTTGTCATGTAAATTGTATGTGCTTAGCATACATTCAATTTCCTTTATTGTTTGTACTTTGGTGTCAATGGCACTTTTAACGTCAAGTATTTCTCTCTGATTGGCAAGTTGCTGCTTATTGTACTTATTTATTGTGTCTTATATATTGCATAATCGAGAATATATATGTTTGATAATAATAGTATTGAAAAACATGTAAAGCTCACCAACAGCAACTTGTCATCAATTTGTATATTGATCAACAAATGAAAAACTTTTGTTGTTTTCATTTTGATTTTCATGTTATTGATGTATTATTTTATGTATTTTATTTCTTATGTTCTTTTAATTCTTCATCATAAGAGTTATGTGTACAACATATATACCTGAGCATTGTAATTTCAGTGTACACAACCGGTAATGCACCAAAGCGGGCCGGTTTGTATATATATACAAACCGGCCCCGCTGTTCTATTACACATGTACTTTGAAATGTCTACTGAAACATTCATACATACATACATATATATATATATGTATGAATGAATGTTTCAGTAGACATTTCAAAGTACATGTGTAATAGAACACATTTATAATTCCAATATAATATGTTAACTGGAACATCCATCTTAAAAATTGTCATATAAAATAAATAAATCATACAGTGAAAACTAGTCTGTGATTTATATTCTTGACTCTAATTTCAATCTTTACACTAAAAAAATGACTTCAAAGATCATTGGACATGCAATTTTAAAAATGGTCTGTCGCAGTGTTGAAATATTTACAAACTGAACAGCGTTTCAAATCTCAAACTAATTTTATTACACATTTTTCCACCTAGAATTTCATTCTGTGCGGATACATTTTATTTCGCAGTTGAAAGACAGATGCCAGGTAAGAGAACATCATCTTTTTCTCAGGATGCTTTTTGATGGCCTCTATCAGTTGTCTGTCCACTTCGATCTGGTCCTTCTTTCGCTTTTCATTCACAGTGTATTCCTGAAATCAATTTTATCATCATCAAATCATTTTACATCAAACTTACTCTACATTTTTTTATCAGACAAAAAACATCTCTATAACAACTAAGTTTATTTTGTCTGTTTTGAATCCAATAACACTATCTGTTGGAATTAATTTTCAATGTTCATTTTGTTTTATTTGTGATTAATTTAATTAATAGTTGTTTGTTCTTAGTGTTTTTTACAAGTTAAAAAATTTTTATCTTTCTTTTTACCTTTGCTATAAACAGAACTCACAGTATAACACTTAACTAATGTTAATCTTTTGGGTAGCCATGCACATTCTAAGAAATATGTTTTAGAAAGTCGAGGAACTATCCATACGTGAATTTTTGAAACAGACAACTGTACTGTACATTCTCAAATTGATTATTATTATAATCAATTTACAACTTACTCTGGTGATACAAATTCATAAGATAAATAGATAAACGGTGTTCCTTCAAGTAGAATTTTCCTCTATTTTCTTTAAATTGTTAGATAAAAAGTATATATATATATATCACTCATATTATTATAATATTTACTTTCTCACCACACCGGGTTGTATATACTTCAAATACACAACAATCTATAATTAACCAATAACTGGCATGAAATTCTTCAAAAAACCAGCAAACGTTTTCGATTCCCCTTCTGGGATATTTTTTTCGGAAAAGGTCACATTTCAAATTTTTTAAAAAACATTTGAATTAAAGAATCCAGTTATAACAGAAGATAAATAATAAGCCTGAGGAAGATCTCAGGAGGGGAATCAAACACTTTTGCCAATTTTTTTAAAGAATTTCACACCGGTTATTGGTTTATTATAGATTGTTGTGTATTTGAAGAGTATTATTATATATTATAATTTATGAATTAATTCTTCATATGTAATTTATTTTAAAATAGCAAACATAGTTATCAACAAACTTATTTTTGTCTTACAAGGAAACCCTACGGCTTTGGGGAAACAGATTTTGATGATCATTGGTGTAGAAGTAGTACACCACGTGAGTGTACTACCCGTAAAATAGTAAAGTGCAACACTCAAATATAATCGGGAAAAACAAAGTTAAAGTTTTCTTTAGCACTTTGTATATAAGTTACACATACTTCTGCTTGAACGTTCTGTGGCATGAGTGTAACACTCCTGACTCGTACGCTTGCGTGCTCAGGTTTGATTCTCTTGTTGTGTATACTTTTTCCCCTCTTTTTTTTATTTACTCATTCATTTATTTCTTATTATTTATTGATTTTTTTAGTTTTTTTTTATAATTTTGTCTCGTTTCGACAAAGAGGTCATATATCCAAGAATCAATCGAATAATATTTATCAAAAGTAGTTCCACCACATTTAACATTTTTCCCCATAATTTTAAAAGATCCATTCTTTTCAAATGACTACATCTGTTGTTTTTTTTTGTAATGTTTGTAGTTTCCACGTACAGTGGGCTTTTGCTACTTTTAAAACTTTGATTTTATATTCCAGTGAAATATATTCCTTCATTCTATATTTTTTTTCACCAGGTACATAGTCATCAGATGAGTCATCTTTAACTGCTTCGAAATTTCCTTCTGTTCACTCTTCTTGGGCATAAATCAATTCGTCATCAATTATAAAATTTTTTCATTCAACACACCCAATGTATTATTGTATAATTCTGTGCCTATCAGCATAGCATCTTCAGATAGTGTATCAGAAGATATTGTTGCAATGAAATTATTTTCAAAAAGTAAACTCTCATAATATACTACTCCATCTTTCAGCCACTGCTTTGATACATCACTGTTTAAAGAGTTATCATCAACAGTTTTTTCGTCATAATGTGAAAAACTTGCTTCTTTTGATGACATTTTTTTTAATTATAAAATAATTTTTCAAAATAAATTTCACTGCACAAATACATCTATTTGTGTCAAAATTCAGAAATGAACTGTTAAGTGTGATTAGAAAAAGACTATACCATCGTGTAAAAATCTACCAACTCCAACTCAGACTTTTCCTTACCATCTGATTCCAACTCTAACCAGAGCCGGACTTGTTACCGAAAGAGACCCTGAAATTCTAATGTCATCATGTGACCTCAGAATAAAAGATTCAATAAATGGAGTTCTAATAAAGATAGAGCTTAGAAACGTTTTATTCCAAAGCTAAAAGCTAAGTAATATATAAATATGTATTCGATAATTTTTACCTTTCCGGCTGTTATATATAACAGAGGAAAAGTGTAGCGCTTGGTCAAAAAATGACCCCTCCCAAATTTTTACATTTTTGGACTCGGAACACCTTGAAATTTCAAGACATGCAAAAGATTCGAGGTTTTTTCCTATATGTGTGAATGATAGACTGTGTGTGGAGGGCATGATTTTGTTCACCCTGTTTGAAGCCTAATAATTTCTGTGGTAAGAGTGGTCATACTCGGAGTCAGATGGTTTAACACAGGAGTTAGATATTAAGCGTCAAAGTTGTTGAACTAAATTGTGTCCCCATACACATTCTAACATCTTAGGTGAGAACATCTTAACGGGTTTTACTGTACTATTATAAAATGACAAAAAAACTTAATTTGAAAGTAGAGCTGAGTTTTATTTTTTTTTTTTTAATTTTAAATGCTAATAACATGTAAAATATTCATTAAGAGATATGAAACATGACCCCTTTTATGTCTTCATCCTGTTAATTAAGAACAAAAATTTAATAGTATTAATGCCCCTTTATACGCAAGCTACAGTGCCATATTTCGTTTCTTAAACTTTACCTATTCTGAGATATTATTTCATATTTCAGAACAGAAAATAAAGAAATTAAACAAATTAAACATCGACACACACACGCGCTAATTTTTCCCTTTTTATTGACTTTTTTGGAGGTTCAGGAGGTCTCCAAACATGTAGATTTGCAAAAAAGATTTGGCAGGACAAACTTGAAACAATTTTAATACTTTTCCATTTTATATACATAATAAATTGTAAAGTAAAAAGGAGTCAGAGATGGCGGATTTTTTGATGACTGGCTAAAACACCAAAACTCCACAGTCCTGCTATAGACCCATGTTCAAACCCGGCGTAAGTAGCTCCCTCTCAACTTGACAAAGGTGAGTTTTCAAAATAAAAATATTAGACTCGGAATAGTAGAAATTAAATTAAAATAAATAACTAAATAATAAAAATACCAAAAAAATCAATAATTAAATGAGTAAATAAGTAAATACATTGTAAGTATTTATGAATAAAAAAAAGGAAAAAGTATACCCGAGCACGCAAGCGTACGGGTCAGGAGCATTACTACTCACGCCACAGCACGCTCAAGCAGAAATATGCATAACTTATATGTCAAGTTCTAAAGAAAACTTTACGTTCAATTTTCTCGATTATATTTGAGTGTTGCACTTTACTATTTTACGGGTAGTACACTCGCATGGTGTGCTACCTCTACACCAATGATCATCAAAATAAGTTTCCCCAAAACCATAGGGTCTCCTTGTTAGAATTTAAACTTTGTTCCTAAACATAATGAAACATAATAAATCTGTAAAGCCAAATGACCACCGTATTACATCAGATCACTTTCCCACGATTATATTTAATTAATTACCGAATAATTTATCACTAGAGAGAGGCGTCAGACAACATCTCTTATTACATTTAATAATTATAATTAAATTAAAATTTATTAAATAATTTCAAATCTTCTGGAAGAAAAACATTCTTCTTCAAATATAATTTTCATAGTTGCCAAAGTATTAATAATTACACTTACATAGAAAATTTGGTTCCTTTGTTAGAAGTATTATAACAAGAACAAGTTTCTAAAAACTTACCTCGGATTTCAGTTCAAATATTTCTCCTTCATCTTTCTTTTCTTTCTTTGAATGTTTCCTGTTGAAATATTTATCATTCAAATGTGCTGGAATCTTCACCTCGCTAATGTCCAATTTAGTACTTGTTGCAATAACATAAATTTGATTGATTCGTCTCAAAGGACAGCCGTTAACTTTAAAGGGACCTAAAATATTTTTCAAATCACCATTAACTCACTCATTTGCATATATGTAAGCATGAAATGCACTAAATTTGAAAAATTTAACAGAAATACTAAAATTTCTAGCAATTATTATCTTTTGTTACAACTAGGCACATGCATTTATAATAATTTGGACATCTAAATCCAAAGTAAGATTTGAAGTAGCAATCATACATTAATTAAATAAACACAAAATGTCAGACATTATATCTCACAAGTTGCATATCCTATCAGGACAACTGGACTTGTGTTATGAAAGTAGAAATATAAACAGGGCAAGTCTCTCTCATCTCACCAGATTTGTATCGTCTGGCACTATAAACACATTCATAGTGCTACTCACAACCCTGGATAATTGCAAATTATCAGAGTTTAACCTACGATCTATATTCTATACTCATACAAATCTAACATGATACTGCAGCAAACTAAAAATGCTGCCATTATTTCTGTTTTGCATTGAAAATTTAATCAAGGATTTCAAGTACTTTCAGCACATTGTGATTTAACACTTTGTCCTAATCTGAATATTTACTGGTTCTTAATACCTTTTAATATTTAACTGTAACAAAAGCAAGTCACATTTCAACATAAAAAGAAATTAATACAGACTATTTCATACATAAATTATATATTAGCAGGACAATTGCACTGCATGCATAACAGCATTCCTGAATAATATATAATAATTAAAATTGTTGTAATGCATTTGGTTTGTGCTTAGGCTGTGCAAATTGTTATTATCTAAAATTCAAACACTTACCAGTAACTAGCAGAAGTCCAGATTGTAATTGCTTCAAGAAAACAACTCTCTATTTCCAAAAGAAAAGAAGACACTCATTGAAGATTAGCCAAATTTACAATATTCAAGATAAAAATCCACATTACCTTTCCACGATGGCGACCAGCAAGAAGAATAAGAACGGTTCCGGGAGTGATTCTTTTCCTCAAGTAGCGTTTATGTTTCGAAAAAGAAACCATCTTCCTGGATTTTTTCAGTTTAGGACGATCTTCAGTTGGATAATAACGACGCTAAAAATTAAATGCACGATATGTATGAAATTCAATAAAAATATTTTAGTTAAGAGAAAATTTATAAAATATTTTTAAAAATAAATAGCAAATTCATCATTTCTAATAATTACATTATAGTAAAAAATTATAATTCTCATCTGAAAACTTGTCACAATCACAGAACCAAATTATCATCATTATTATCTACATATAAATCAATGTCCATTCTCCATATTATTCATTAAGAACTCTTCATATTATGCATTTAAGTGAATTTATGATGGTCTATATATATACTTTATAATATAAAAATTTCATCAGACATGCTACAAGATGCTCATTCAGAAATTAAAAGACAGACCATCATTATGATCCTCAAAGTACCAGAGTTATACTACATTCGCACACAATCCACGACTCACTTCGATTTCGATTTATATACAATCTGGATTGTGATTGTCGCTAGTCGAACGTCGTGCTGTTCGCACAGGCAGTCCGCTCGAGAAGAACCTGGCTATTACACGCAATGATAAAACTGACGTAACTACGCAGTAAGTCACGAACACCAACAAACAAAATGGAAGTTTTGGTCAGAAATAAATACTTTTTCTTGCCATACATATAATAATAGACAGATGTCATCGTCTCTCTAGATGTCTTTTTTATTTCTCTGTCAATAGCCCGACATGTGTTCCGCAGCCATCTTGTATTTTCTCGCGCGCGTGGGATTGTGGGATCTCTCTTATAACTGGATCTAGTTTCGAGAACTCTCTCCAGTCAATCGCGATTGAACCTTGTTTCAGTCAAGATTGAAACGGTCGAGTGTTTGCACCGCAGAACAGGCTCCGACCTTAGTCATAATCTAGATCGAAATGCTCGGTGCGAACGGAGTATTACAGAAATTTGAATCAACACATTTTGTAACCATAATCACAGAACATGTCATACCGCTGATTACTATTCGTCAGTCATTTCCTATATTACAATCATTTTACATTTATAATATAAAAATACAAAGTTTTGGTTAAGACAGATGACAAAACAGTCATATAATTTATTCTTATTAGCTGAAATTTGCAATGTATCCAAGGTAACGTCATTGGGCACATTCAAAATCTGTGCGCCACAGCACACAGATTTCATCAGCAGTCTGCATGCACCGTAGTATTATACACAGAATATAAAAACTGTTAAAGTTAAAGAATGTACTATATAAACTATACTTTTCACAGATACCAGATACAGGTAACCCCCGTATAACACGGTAATTATGTTCCAAAAAACTGCCATGTGCAAATCCGTGTTATGCGAATCAAAGAACTAGTACAAAAAGGAAGGTTAGGTTCCAAAAATTAAAAAACATGCTACTATATTTTAATATTTAAGTTAAATATCTTTATTAAAATTTTCTTAAGTGATACAGATTAATATANAATATATATCTGTATTTCTTTGTTGTTTTGTTTTTACTTACTTTAATGAATGCATTCGAAAATGTATCAGAAGATTTGTATTTACTGAATAAGGAAAATTTGAATTTGCATTCGGAATTGGAACGAATTATGGCACAACACGATGAACTTTGGCGCTTTACCGATCACCTCAACGGACCATTCAATTACGTATTAACAATTCTATACGGCATTTTATTATTAGAAACAAGTCTACTGTACTTTGCTCTCATCTTTTCGAAAATGAAATTTGCGTTGAAACTGTTTTATTCTTCAATGTGTCTTAGCTTCACTTTCCTTTGTATCGTAGCCGGATTTCTGTTTTCTGCTTTTACATCTACTGTAACGTATTTCTTTTGAAAATTCCACTATTTTCTATATTTACAGACCTCTAAATGTGTTGTTCCTTTTTTCAGATGCAAACGTCCTTTCAAGATATCAGAAGATTTGCTGGCTGCGATCTCAAATTGGAACAAAAGTTAAAGGTTTAACATTTAAAATCTATTGTTATTGAGAAAAACATTTATTATGTTTATACGTACTGTAAGTTATTTTAATGCTTTAATAAAAATAATTTTGTAGATTCTAAACTTTATGAAAAGATTCGGTAAAGATTGCCTGTGTTTGACATTTAGAAATTACTTTAAGGTTACAAAAAAGTTTCCAATAAAAGTGTTTTGAAATTTATTTTACTTGTGTTGTTTTTAAAATTAGAATTATAATAACTGAATTCATCCTTTAAATATTTCAGATGGGAAGTTCTTTACACACTATATTTTCTGGTCTTTTGAATATAAAGAAAGTTTCGTAGATAAAATTTAACAAACATGTTAAAAAGACCAAAGTGATGACAAGCTCATACAAAAAGACATGGAAAACGGGGTACCCCTTGAATTATGGTGAGACTAACCTGAGGACCCAGGATCCAAGAGTTATAACAGTATGTCGAATCTAGAAAATGTCCGCAATGCTTCTAAGTATATGAATCATAATCAAATTATGTGACTTTCCAATTTTGTATCTCTTTTATATCTCAGATACTGTTAATAAATTACTACACTGATTTCTAAATTGTCTACTTTTGTATTGTGAAGGTCTGAAATTCTTTTTCTGTCTTAAAACAGTATAAACCTCGGGGTTTTTTCTATAAAGGGAAAAAGGGGGACTTCTGCGATCAATGACCGAGACGCTCTTTTCGAATAAAAAAAAATGGGGGAATGTTAAAATATCAATGAAGGAAATCTCCTCCATTTGTTTAAAGGTAATTCTATAGACGTTAATATCAACAAGACGGGAATAAGAGATGGTTTCTTACACCCTCTTTGGTTGCAAGTGACACGTGTTTACAGCAATAGATCGCCTCGTTCGTAGTCAAACGCGACGTTTGATATAAACAATATGTAGATTGTTGACCAGTTTACAGAAATTATTGTCAGCTGAATGTTAATTTATGGATGAGAGCCGTCAAACCTATACAAATTTATATTATAAAATCATATCTTCTAGACACCAATATCAATAAATTAAACAAACTTCTCTGTGCCAGTGGTCCTTACTAGCTAGATCCAGACATCAACACACTAACAGGTGTGTGTATAAATCATTAATAATGTCATAGTTTTCATCCTTTCAAATTTGGTATAAAAAGGGCTCAGGGCCCGTTATCGGTGTGACCTTCGAGACATCGGAAAACGACGGACCAACTGTCGGAAATACGCGAGANTTTGCAAAAAGTGTATGTAATTTTAGATTGCTTGCTTCTAGTTAAAAGATCTTTATAAATTTCCTTATATGGTGCTAAGCACTTATGGAATAAGGGGAAAACATCTGGCAACACCAGAAGAAGAAGCATCGAGATATGGCAAAATTGAAACAATTTTCGCGAAGGACCATGTGTATGGAGACGAGAAAAGAAAATTTACACACTGAAGATCTAATAGTTCACGAAAATAATAATTTTCCTGAACTATTAGTACTTAAGTATGTAAAAATTTATTACATTTCATGTTGTACGAGGGTTTTAACCATTTCTCAAACCGTGTCAGAGTGAATCCGTGCTATAAAAGTACCGTGTTATACGGGGGATGATACCAATTCTCAAACTGTGTTAGAGTGAATCTGTGCTATAAGGCAGTGTTTTTCAACCTTCTTGAATACAACCCTTTACAAGTTAAAAACTTCTGGCGACCCCCCAGGGTCATATTAAAACTATATCAGTGATTTTAAAAACTATGTATTTAATTTTCTTTCTGTTGAGACCTAAATATCGATTGAAAAACCAATTGTACT